GGGCTCGGGCGTAGGAACAATGGCGAGGGCGGCGGCGCAGGTTCAGCCCAGCGTTTGCCGTGCAGGTCACTACAGGTCGGAGGTGACTGGCACCTAACGACGTGGGAGGCCCAGGTTTGATTCCTGGCCAGGGGACCGCCCTGTCCACCTGCCAGCCAGCGGAGGTTCTTGTGCCAGCACAGTGAGGCTGGATGATAGGATGAAGATCCAACAGCTTCAGCCCTAGTGACGGGACAGTTGAGCCTTTGGGTATTATCCAGAGGCTGGGGGCTGAAATGCAGCCAGCTGGCCCACAGGAGAGACCTGGCAGCCTGCTCCACAGATGACAGCAGAGACCTCACCCCACCCCCAGCAGGGATGCTGACCCACGGGGCTGCCCACAGGTTTCAGTGAACTTGCCATGCCCGCAGGGACTAGGAAGAATGTCCTGGAAACCTATGTCGGAAACAGCAGCCCACGAAAACCTAAGGATGCCAAAGTCCAAGTCCACTGTGTGTGGGGTCACCAGCACCAAGATAAGGGCACCGGCCCCACTGTAGGAAGGCCTAAGGTTGGATCATTCCACCTGCCAAGATGCTCTTTCCAAATAACGTGTGGGGGGAATGAGGGGAAGTGTTTTTAAACACGGTGGTTTTGGGGGGAGCCATTCTCTAACCTCTAAAAGCTGTGTGACCCTGCCTTCCTGGTGTTCACTTGCGTGTGCGCGGGACTTAGAACCTGTTTCTGACCAACGGGCTCTTACTGTTGGGATCATCCCCCATAAGCAAACCCAAGGACCAGGAGGAGGCTGGCACAAGACCAGGCGTCCCATTGTTCACAAGATCGCCCCACGCTGAGGCTGGCCGGGCACCTGGAGTGGTGACGAGCCCATAGACTAGCTTGCGCAGCCCGGCTGAGGTCCACGTGACCTCTGCCACGGGAAGTACTCGGCTCTTTGAAGCACCAGCAGGGTAGCTACTAACCAGGGTGGGGCCGCCACCAGGGCCACACAGAGGGAGACAGTCTCAAGGTCACAACGTCTATTTATTCCCGCCTGTCACACTCCTTCCCACATGCTTCCTGGTGTGTGGGTACGGGGCCCACGGTGGCTGCTGTCCTACTGGTCACCCAAAACACACCTCCCGAGCAGGCTCCCCGCCGGGCAGCCAGGTGGCCTGGCTCTCTCCCTGGAGGTGGCTCAGGGGCTTGTCCCTCAAGGCCCAGGAGGTGACACACCTGGGTCTGTCTGCCGACTGACCGGAACAGTAACCCTGATGCCAGCCTCCAGGACGGGACGAGGAGACCGGTGAGTGTACCCTGATGCATAACTGGAAGAGATGTCACAGAATGTGGTCTTGGGTGCTCCTCGGGGGATAGAGGGGGGCGGATGACTACAAAAATGTCCTCGTTCACACAAAGACTCCGGGGCAGTGGCTGGCAGTGAGCTTCTCAGTCCCAAGGACTGGGAGTGGGCAGGGTGGGGG